ACTGTAGGTGTTTGCTTTGTGATTACCATGGGGCATACATAAAACATTTATAACAGTCTCCTCCAAGGTGATAACAACTTAACTTTGAACATATGTAAAAGCTCTACTCTTATACACTCTCCCCTATTTTGTTTTTGATGTCACAGTTTACATCTTTTTATACCTTGTATCCACTAACAAACAATTGCGTAGTCATTTTTAATACTTTTGTCTTTTAATTTTTTTACTAGAGTTATGTGATTTACCCACCATTACAAAAGTATTCTGAATTTAAATATATATTTACCATTATCAGTGAGTTTTTTATTTTGTTTGTTTTCCTGTTGCTAATTAGTGTCTTTTTATTTCAGCTCGAAGAACTCCTTTAACATTTCTTGTAAGGCCAGTCTGGTAGTGATGACTCCTTCAGCTTTTGCTTGTCTGGAAAATTCTTGATCTCTCCTTCAATTTTGAAGGACAGCTTTGCCAGGTATATAATATGCTTGGTTGACAGGTTTTATTTCCTTCAGCAGTTTGGATACATATCCTGCCGTTCTCTTTTGCAAAATTTTATGTAAAGTTTCTGCTGAAAAATCTGCTCATTGTCTTATGGGAGTTCCCATGTATGTAACAACTTGTTTCTCTCTTGCTGCTCTTAAGATTCTCTTTAACTTTTGACAATTCAATTATAATGTGTCTCGTGTGCATCCCTTTGGATTCATCTTTTTTGGAACTCCCTGGACTTCCTGGAGCTGGATGTCTGTTTCTTTCCCCATATCAGGGAAGTTTTCAGCCATTATTTCTTTGAACTTTCTCTTTCTGCCCCTTTCTATTTTCCTTCATGGACCTCCCTCTCTCTATATATATATTCATTCTTTACTCTTTTTCTCCTCTGACTGGATGAATTCCACTGGACTGTCTTCAAGCTTGCTTATTTTTTCTTGTGATCTAGTCCGTTGTTGAACCCCTCAATAAAATTTTATTTTTGGTTAATGTTACATCACTTTATTTGAAATTCAGCTGTGAAACCATTGCTCCAGGCTATTTTGGCAAGAAAATTCACCACTATAAAATTTGACTTTATTCTCTTTCAGACCAAAAATACACATATCTAAGTTAGTATAGCAATTTTTTCAGACTTGACTATCCCAAAGAATAAAAAATATAGTACAGTGTACCCTTTATACAGATTTTTAGGTAAAATACTTTGATATGGATTTTCTGGAAATTAAAAAGTAAGCAAGCTAGAAGGAATTTAGTCTTTAGTTGGTAGTAAAACCACATATTTAGATTTCTATTTATTTATTTATTTATCTATTTATTTATTTATGGTGACATTGGTTAACGAAGTCCAATAAGTTTCAGCTATACACTTTAACAGTAAGGCATATATATTTACACTACGTGTTCACCTCCCATAGTTAGATTTCTTTCTATCACCACATATTTGACCCCCTTTACCCTGTCTACTTCCCCCCACTCTCCTCCCCACTACTCTCTGGTAACCACTAGTCTCTAGTCCATGTCCTAGAATTTTTCATTTCAGTATTGTATTCTTCAGCTCTATGATTTCCTTGGTACTTTTAAATATTTTCTCTCTATTGAAATTCTGACTTTGTTCACACATTGTTCTCCTGACCTCGGTGAGCATCTGTATGACCATTACTTTGAACTCTCAGGTAAGTAATTTATTTCCATTTATTTCTGGAGTTTTGTCTTATCTGGAACATATTCCATTGTTTGTTTTCCTTGACTCTGTGTTGGTGTCTGCACATTAGATAAAACTGTCCCAGTCTTTAACAGAGTGGTCTTGTGTAGGAAATGAACCGTGTCAGTCTGCCCAGCCCAAGCTCTTGGTTGCATCTCAAACCTTTGTGATTGTCCAAGCCTTCTTCTTTGTTCTTGGTGCCACCCAGTAGTTGAAGGTATATCAAGACTGGTCAATGTCCCAGTGGGGAGGATCACAGGGAGCACCTAGATGCAGGCTGATTGGAAGCTGGACTCTCAACAGCTGGGAAACTATGTACGGTAGTCTCCCTTTATCCAGTGTTTTGCTTTCTGCAGATTGTTACTCATGGTCAATATTTTTATTACCCAATGAAAATATTAACTGAGAAATTCCAGAAATAATTCATAAGTGTTAAATTGCATGTTCTGAGTAGCGTGATGAAATCTTATGCCATCCTGCCTGGAATGTGAATCATCCCTTTGTCCAACGCGTCCATGCTGTATACACCATCTGCCTGTTAGTCACTTAGTAGCCACCTCTGTTATCAGATAAACAGTCGCGGTATCACAATGCTTGTATTCAAGCCACACTTATTTTACTTAATGGCCCTGAAGCCACTTACATAACTTTTATTACAGTATATTATTATAATTGTTCTTTATTATTATTGTTGTTAATCTCTTACTGTTTCTAATTTATAAATTAAACTTTATAATAAGTGTGTATGTATAGAAAAAAACCATAGTATGTATAGGGTTTGGTACTCTCCACGGTTTCAGGCATCCACTGGGGATCTTGGAATGTATCACCGGTGCATAAGGGTGGACTACTGTTGTTAGGCCCCTTCCTGGGAGATGGGCATTTTTGCCTAATCCCTCTGCACTTGGCCTGGGTGTATAGCCATGGTGGGGGCACCTAGGGGGGTGGGGGGTTCCTGCACCTGTTAAGAACTGCTTCTTTCTTTGCTACAGTCCTATGGGACTTGTGACTGTAAGCTCCATTGGGTGTCAGAGGCAGGCAGTCCAGGGATCTGTCCTTTGGGTGGCAGCTGCTATATCTGGGGCATAGTTAAGTATATACGCTCCTTCCTGGGAGGTACTGGTGACTTGGAGCAGGCGCAGAAGGCATCCACTGGCCTCCCCAGTCTCTGGGGAGGATGGTAGTCAGCCCCTAGATATGTGGTAAATTAGAAGCCTGATTCTCAGGCAGCAGCTTTTAATATATACAAATAGCATTTTCAGG